TAATTAATACTCTTATTAAAATAAAATTAACTTGTTAGTAACCTAAACAAATTTTAGTTAGATAAAAAAAAAAAGACAGAAATTTGGAGTTTGAACTATATATATAAGATTAGTGTGTATCAATGGTGACTCTTAGAAAAATTAAAATCTTAACTTATATTTGAAAAATAAAACTTTAATTCAAAATTTAAAATTAGTGAAAACCCAAAAAAATAGAGTTAATCCACCGTGAGATATACTATTTGATCATTTGTGAAAAAAGTTTATTTGTATTGTCAGTAAAATTTAAAGATTTATTTATTTTATTTTTAATTTAAAATTTTAAATATTATTTTTAAATAAATTTAAGGGTTTAAGAAGAGCTTTTACCTTTTGTCTTTGCTGCCCTTCCGCGTGGAAGGACTGCCAACTCCAGAAGTCTTTGGCCTTTAAATTGAGAAAGAGACATCTCAGAAAACGTAAGTTCAAAAGAGGACCAACTAATAAAATGATTGCTTCTATTATAAAAGAAAGAATGAAGAAGATTAAATTATATAATGAATGATTTGATTGTAAAAGAAAATAATATCAAGTTTTTTTTTTTTTTGATTTTTTTTAACAAGGTATAATAGGAACTTTAACCTAACCTTAAGAGGAGGAACTGCACTTTTGCATGTTAACAAGAGCCACTTGACCTAAACAGGTCAGGTGTAAATAATATGAAGTTATTATAATGATTGATCAATTAAAAAGAAATTAATTTATTATTTGACTAAATTTAAAATTTTGATATTAATTATAATTTTCTTAATAAAATATTTCTAATTAATTATTATTTTGTTATATCACATATCCCTTAATTTTATAAATATAATTACTCATATGTAACAAAAAAAAATAAAAATAAACGCTTAAAACTCATTGAGATTTTTTACCACATATTAAAAAATTTTAATATATCATGATATCTTAAAACTATCTTAATTTATCTATCTCTCTCACTTATATTTTATTTTATTTATGTTATTATTACATTATCATATAATTTTTACTATTAAAATTTCCTTACTTTATTAAAAATTTCTTCAGCTTTCACCTGACCTGCAAATGACGCAGAATCTAACTAAATTATTTCAATCATCAAATGGCTTATGCTACTTTCGTTCTTCTCCAAACGTTGCAGTTTTACAGGCAAAATGAGTAATGTCCTTTTCCCTTTTAATATAATTAAGTTTAAATTTTTAGTCCAAATTTTAAGCAGATAATACCAATAAAAATGAACAAAGGGGAAACGAGATTAGATTTAGATAGGAACCCAAGGTTGTAAACATTTTCGAAAGGGAAATAAGGAGGGCAAAAGAAGGGAATGAGGCCTCGGAAAGGAAAAAGTTTGTTGTATTCAAGGACACATTTCACATGGCGCTGAGCTCTATACTCTCACCGGTTAGTCTACAGTGTGTCTGATGCTGGTAAATAATTGTACATTTCCACGCGCTCAATAATTATTGTTTGCATTAATTCACAATTTTGTTCTAAAGAGATCTAGAATGCAATCTTTTATGAGAATAACCTTAAATAATAATACGTGTAAATTTGTTTAGTTTTTTGCTTCAAGTCGCCGAAGATTTAAAAAAAAAAAAGAAAATTTCAAATAGGAGTTGAGGCACCGGTATTGTTATTTTATCATTTAAAAAATTACATAATGGTCGACTTATTTCTCCATCGTTGAGTAAAAAGCAAAAAAAATTTCAACTTTATATTTTTTTATTTAAAAATATTAATTTTATCAGTTTTTAAATAAAAATATTAATTTTTAATTTTTTTTAAATAAGAATGTTAACTTTTAATTTTTTT